CATTTGCTAATGACTCTTGGTCAAGCACTTGTTGGAGTGATCTGTTCGCTGGATGTGGCCCAAACGGTGCCGCCAACATGTTCACCAAAACGTGTCTTGAGCAGGCCATAGGGTACATCCCCATATCGCATGCAACATTTCGTGAAGATTCCCATCCATGGCTGAAGGAAACCGGTGTGAGCACCTCATTGAAGCTGGAGCTCGTGCGTCTGGCACTCTTGAGTACGATCGCGATGCCCAAACATGTTCGCAAAAGCTTTTGGAGGAGCATGATCAATACGTGCGCCGGTTGAGGCCCAAGACTTGGCGTCGAGCTCATCGTACAAGCGGTGGTGGCCATTATGCAAATCCTCGATGTTACAAGCTGGCCAGGTATCTTCCATAGCTCCTCTTTTGGTCCTGGAGGCGAGGGCCACGACAGTCAAGTCAAGTCAAGCAAGCCTTGCACAGGCGGGTGCGCGAGCGAAGTGAAACATTAAATCGGTTGCCCGCCTATCACGCTGCGGTGACTCATTGGAGGGGGACACGGAGGAGCAGGGGGGGGTGGAACTGGCGCCAGACGGGTTCCAGGCCAGGCTTCGAGGGCGAATTTTCAGAGCGCGACCCTCGTATATGTTAGTCGCGTGTCCAGCGCTTTCGCGTGAAGCCATTGCGAAGCGACACATGGTTTTCCTAGGGCAGCTCGCGAGGCGACCCTGCCACGACCCTGTGCGACGCTTCATACTACAGCCCGGCGGCATTGAACCGCGATTGCTGACAGGGCTTCGCAAACGAGGGCGCCCCCAACAGATGTGGGGCAACATTGTTCTGAATAAGTGTCCGAGACTGGCCTGCGCCCACAGCCGCTTAGCTGGCCTCTTCCAGCCTGAGGCCAGTGCAGCAGCGGCGTGGTAGTCGGTTGTGAAAGCAGGACCGCCCCGGCCCACCCAGCGGCTCGAGCGCTCTCCCAAGCAGCTCGGCTACATGCTGACCACATTCGACCTCTCATGTTCCGAGCATAGGGATGCAGCATCGAGGATGAGAGAGGTGCTGGTAGCCGGGCGTGGCCCACTGGCGCAGTGCCTGGCGAGACCAGTTTGCCGCTGGCACGCCGTGTAGCCCACGAGGTCAAGCACTTCCTAGAGAAGGATCTGAGCGTGGGCTGGCTGGACAACCAAGGAGACATCCTCCTGGACCCCAAGATCCGCACCACGAGCAGTCCGCTGCTGCCGAAGCCGGCGGGGCACATCACGATCGAGAAGGTCAAGCACCTGCTGCGCAGCCCAGACGGCCCTGCCGGCACCCCTCACGTGGCCAGGACAGGAGCCCGCAGGACCTGGTGCGACACTGCTGTGCATCCCCGGCGCCGCCCACGGAAAGGCCCCGGCCCTCACTCCGAAGGAGGTCTGGCGCATCCAGTCGGGTGTTGCTAGAAGTGCCCCTGGCCCAAGGTGCCCCCAGCTTTTCGCTCCGTTTTGGAGCCCCTGGGGCCCTCTGGGCCTCGTGAGGGGTGCCCTGGCCGAGGTGGTTCGTAGGGGAGCAAAAAGTAACATAAACATGAAAACTCGGAGCTCCGCGCAGATTTCTCGGATCGGCGCTGGGGCCCCCTGGCGGCGCCTCCGGCGCCGCCCCTGGCGCGCTCCGCGCGCCAGGGAGGGGGGTCCAGCGCGGATCCGAGAAATCTGCGCGGACCTCCGAGTTTTTATGTTTATGTCATTGTTCGTTCCCCCAGTTCAGGGCCTGGGCCATCGCCCCCGACGGCCGGGCAGCCGAGCTCCTCCGACAAGGGGGAGAGGCCGTCGGGGGGGCCCTCTCGGAGGGCATCCACAAGAGCCGGCGCAAGGGCAGGCGACCCGCTTCAGGCAGATCGACGAGGACACCATCCTCGGCCCTGCTAAGCCGCTGGCGGCCGGAGAGCTCCAGCTCAACAAGACTGCGGCCCGGCCGCGCACCCCCAGGGGCGCGAGGTCAAGGCTGGCCCGCAAGGGGCGAGCGATGACGACGACCGAGCTGGTCCAACCACTGGCTCTGGGACAAGCACGCAAAGGTCTGCCACCCACACCCGCGCACCCCGTGCTGGGTGGAGAACGCTGCGGGGAGTGGCTTCGCGACCAGAGGACTGAGGTCATGTTCCAGACACTCAGTGAAGGTACCTGGAGTGGGTACGAAGGCGGGTGGCGCCAGTGGACGGCCCACCGCTCGGCGCAGGGCAAAGAGACATGGCTCCAGGGCCGGGGCAGGGCTGAGAGGTCGCAGGACGAGGACGCCCTGATCGACTTCGTGATCATCCTGGTGGTGGTGGTGGCGCGCACCGAGGGGGCGGTGAAGCAAAAGCTATTCGGCATCAAGTATGCGCACCTGATCGTCGGGTACAGCGACCCGCTCCTACACCGGGGACGGCTGTGGACGACTTTGGCTGGTCTGAAGAGGCTCCAAGGTCCCAGCCAGCGGCGCGAGAAGCCAGTCACCCCACGGATGCAACTGTGGTTGAAGCAGCGCATCCACCAGGACGCAGGCCTCGGCCCAGCGGACGCAGCCACCGTGTTTGCAGCCATCATGCTCGCCTTCTTTTTCCTCTTGCGAGCGTCAGAGTACTTGGTCACGGGCAAGTCGACTTGCCCGTGACCAAGGACGTCCTGGTCGCCCTGGAGAGCGGTCCACGGCGAAGATGTGGAGGCGAGATCCAGCGGGAAGCGAGTCGGCTCGTTCGCCCACGCAGACGAATGCGTCCTGCACATCAAGGGGTCGAAGACGGACCAGTACAACGTGGGAGCCGTGCGTAACCAGTAGGCTACCCAGTCGACGCTGTGCCCGATCACGGCGCTCGCGGCCATGCAGGCGCAACACCCGCAGCGCTTCGACCACGTCACGGAAGCGAGGCGGCCGATGGGCGCCGCACTCGTTCCACGCCTATCTTTGGGAATCGCACGAACCGCAGCGGGACGTGGCCCGACGCACCGCTCGGAGCTCACGACCCCAGCCGCGAGGCCCCAGGAGGGAGCCGCCGGCACCAGTGCCGGGCGAGCTGCCTCGGGGGGCCTCCCAGCCCTGGGCCGGGCAGCCGCGGCAGCAGAGTCACGTTGGGGCACGCGGCAGCGGCCGGTCAGCAGCTATCGACTGTGAAGGAGGACGAAGGGTACATCAGCTTGCACCTTAGCGAGGGCCGGAGGGACGTCACCATCACGATCCCCTTGTGGACGGCGGCGAAGGTCATCGTCCTCCTGGTTACGGCGCTGGGCGCGACCCTGGCACTGTCCTGGCACTGCTGGTGCAGCGCACGGCCGGGCAGGCAGCCCGAGGGCCCGCGCGAGGCGCCCGGGGAGGCAGCCGTGAGCAAGCCGCAGCCGCCCAAGAAGCCCACGGCCGTCTGCTGCGACGCGCGGGTTCAGGGCCCGGGTCACTGAAACGGCACGCGCGACCTCCAGAAGAACCACGGGCTCTGGCGCGGGGGTGAGGTCACGCGCGAGGTGGCCGACAAGCAGCATCTCCACTGGCCAGCAGCGCCGCCGGCCGTAAGGCCTGGCGAGCGAAGAGGTGGAAGGGGACCCAGCCGCCGGCCTCGGCCTGGCGAGCTCAGCAGCGCCGCTGGCCACGTGCCTGGAGAGCAGTGGTCGGCGACTACAATAGGTGCGGTTTGCGAAGGGTGCGGTTTGCCTCCCGTCATATCTGGCCCTCCCGCCCCCGGGAAACGGATGACACTGTCACTCAATGCAACCAAATCACATGACACTGTTGCTCCTTCTAGTACAGTGGAGCACACATCGAGGATGACAGTGTCGCTGGAAACGACGACAAAAGTGACATTGCCTCTCACAAAGGCCCCGGCAAGGAGCCGGCCTCCCAGGGCAGCTGGTGCTGGGGCGGCGGCGGCTGCGCGCCCGAGGGCACCCGGCGCCGCACCGGGGCCCACGCCGCCCGCCACACCCGCGGCTGGGTTTCCGCAGCGGGGGAGGGCGGCAACCCCCCGTGGGCGGCGTGGCCGGCCGCTCTTCGGCCACGCCCACCCACGCCCCTCCACGGCGCGCGCAGGGGCGCCCGCGGGCGCCGGGCGCAGGTGGCAGACGCCGGCGACTGTGCTCGCCCGGCGTCTCCCTGGCCCGCCTAAATCCAGGTGGCGTGGCCCGAGTTTTTCTTCGAGCCCAGGCAGGGCCGTCGCGGGGACGGCCGTGCGCGTGGCTCCCAGGACCAGTGGTGGCGGCAGAGCAAGCTCACGCGTGGCGGAAGAGTGGAGCTGGCGCGCACACGCAGCGCCATGAACATCTTCGTCATCTGCTGCTGCTGCCTCCCTCCTCACCTGGAGCCCCACCACAGCCGGGCTCAAGTTCCTGTTTCGGTAGTGCGCACTTAACTGCTAGCCGAGACAGCCGCGTCGATCTCAGAGGGCCCCTCGGCCCGAAACGGCGCCAACAGTTGCCCGTCGTGAGAAAAACATCGGCGCCAGGATCTCGGGGTCCTTGCGCTTCAAGGTGCTCCGAGGCCGCAGAGCCGGCGACAACCGACGAAAACTCCAGAGAACCTCGGCCTTCGGTCCTCGGACCTTCAAATCTCGACCCAGCGACGCCAGGATCGCAGGGAAGGGCTCGGCGCCCCGCGCCGGGGAGGGCCTCGAGCTGGCTCTTCCTCCTGCTTGGCTGGCCCATCGAGCATCCCCTCCCTCCCTGCTTCACTTGTTGTCTCTATCCTCCTCTTCTCCTCTTCATCCTCCTCCTCCTCCTCCTCCTCCTCCTCCTACATTCATCCTAGTTTCCTCCTCCTCCTCCTCCTCCTCCTCCTCCTCTTCCTCCTCTTCTCCTCTTCTCCTCCTCCTCTTCCTCCTCCTCCTCCTCCTCCTCCTCCTCCTCATCCTCCTCATCCCCCTCCCCTTCCTCCTCGCGGCGCACGCCGAGGCAGCGCGAGGGCCCCCGCGTAGCCGCCCGAGCGCAGAGCGACGGCTGCCCATCCCACCCGGCTGCCTTTTCCTGCGCCGCGGGTCGCGCAGCGTGGCGCGCCGCGGGGCGCGCGCCCCCGCCGCGGCGCACACAGGGGGCGCCGGGACGGCGGCCACGGCCACCCATTCGGATCACTGGATTGAAGGGGCCCCAGGACACACAAATAAATACACACAAATAAAAATATTCCCAATATTTTCCCATATGTTCTGGGTTTGTGTCTTCCAACCCACTTCCCATATTTTCCCATATTTTCCTGGGAATCGACGATTAATTGTGTCTGTGTGTTTTCTCCCCTCCTGGTGGATGCCAGCATCGGAGTGCCTTCCAGGGGTGCCCGGATCGTCCAGAACGGCCACCCCTGGGCCGAGCTGCGACCCGAAAGCCAATGGCGCCCCCCCTGTTGCGAAAAAAACATGACGGAGGGCGTTCGCCAAACGATGGCCTCCAGAAAACGTTTCCGCCTTGCGCGAGACTTTGCGTTCTTTCCGGGTATCGCCACGCACGCCCGTCCCCTGTATCCCCTTCATGCGCAAATAGGCTCGCTGGAGTCAACCCAGACACCCTCCGCCGCAGTGTTTTCAAAGCGTGGCTCCCCCGATGCCTGGATCCCTTCCTTGGGACTGGTTTTCCATCCAGGGCAACTTGTTACGGCCCCGTGGCCGGTGAAGGCCCCTGGAGGCCGAACGTTGACAAAAACTTCCCCCATCCCATGATCATTGGGTGCCGACTAATTTGGCGCGACCGACGCGGCCGCGGTGACGCTGACCGCTGGCCACTTCCCAGCGGGCATTTCTGTGCACGTCGGTGACGTGAGCGGGCGCCGCATCATGGCAACCTCGAAAAAGGTAGGCGCGATGACGGTAGTAGCGATGCTGGTGACGATGATGACAGCGATGACGGCAAGGCCAATGACGGCGCCGCTGTTCATCGCGCCGGCGACGATGACGGCGCTCTCGCGTCGGCGACGAAGGTGTAACAAAGAGTTCGACATGCGCGCGCGGCCGACGGGCACGAGTGGCCCACATTATATTATATGACAGGGATCGCGCCACCCCCCTTTCCCCCCCAACACGCGCGCAAGGGCGATCGACTGACTTCGACATGCGGCGCGAGAGGCCCGATTGGCCGAATCGGATGGAAATGTTGGAAGACTCATGGTCTCTTGAATGTTCCCAAGAGCGCGACCGCAGGTGTTTTTTTATGACTACAACTTGTTTGTCCTATTCGTTTGAAAACCAGCATCGCAAAAACTTGTGGCTTTAGGCGTTTTCGGTGCATTCGATCTCCAAATCCTTACGACACCAGAGGTTTTTGAACGATTCGGGCATGCGCGCGCGATGACGCGCGTGCGCGTGCCCTTCGCCCCGTCTGTTGCAAGGGATTCTCGCGACAGCACACGCGCAAGGGTGTTCGAACGATTTCGGCATGCGCGCGCCAGAGGCACGTTTGGTAGCATGTGATGATCAGGGTTGGGAACCCATGGTTTTCTTAAAAGCTCGTAAGAGCGCAAGCGCTAGCTTTTCCTCTTGAGAACTCTGCTTGTGAAAGCAAATGCCTTTCATATGCTTTCGGCGCGCTCGATCACGAAAGCCTGCCGGATCCTATTGTTCTTGAACGATTTGGGCATACGCGCGCGACAACGCGCGCTCATGTACGTCGTCCCGCTTTGGACAACGATTCCGGAAAACTGCTGCTGTGTTCAAAACGAATGCGTGCGCAAAGTTCTTTTGCAGAGGATCGAAGGGGATGGGGGGCTGATAGTAGCCTGCCTGGAATGTAACGAGCTCCTGTCTAAAAAGGACGAGGGGATAGAAACACACGTAACATGCAATGCGAATGAGCCGATCAGTCTGGGTGTGGGGCGGGGGTCGATCCTAATGTTGTCTGAAAAAGGAGAGGTTACCCTGCTGGACTTGAAGTTGTGGCCTCCACTGCTCGCGCGGTTGCGGACCCCGGCGGCGGCAATTCCGGTGCCTGCTCGGCGCTGGCTGGCGCACCGCTGCGGCCGCGCTAGCGTGCACGGGCTCGCGCGCGGGGCGGCCGGCTGCTCTGGCGCGGCCGGCGCGGCGGCGGCGGCGCTGACCCCCAGAGACTTCTCAACGCGTTTCGCAGGCCGCGCTGACAAGCGGGAACGTCACTGCGAGTCGGTGATTCGGGCGGGCGCCGCATCATGGCGACGCCGGTAAGAGCAGACGCGGTGATGATTCAAGCGATGCTGAGGACGACGATAACGATGACGACGGCAACGCCAATGGCGGCGCCGATGCTGATCACGCCGATGCCGATGATGGTGTGCACGTGTCTGTGGTGAAAGTTGTGAAAGAATTTGGACGTCCGCACGCGTCCGACGGGCGCGAGTGGCCCGCGTGATATTATTCGAGAGGGATCGTGGCCCCCAGCGCGCGCGCAAATGCGTTCGAATAAGCTCGCCATGCGTGCGGTTGGAAAGAAATGACCAGGATCGTGCCCCCCCCAACGTGAGCGCGAGTTCGTCTAACGTGATGGAATATTGCAAACCGGTGGTCCTCAAACACTTCGCAATAACGCATGATTTTGGGGACAAATCATGCTGCAAGACAAACGGGCGTTTATATATGTATATACACACATATAAATCCAGCTTCGGACGCCTGGCTCAGCACATGGGTGAAAGGGAGAGTTTTTACATGACGACAAATGGGGGATGCGTCCACTCGGACCCCCGCCCTACTGGTGGGGGTCAGCTTGCCAGTGCAGGGTGGGCGGGTGAAAAGGGGAAGCCGCAGCGCGGGCTGAAGCCAACGGCTGCGAGAGAGAGAGAGGCAGAGGAAGGAGAAAAAACATAACAGAACGTGGCAAGTGCCATAAAACGCTGTTACTGGATAAGTCCTATGATCGGGGCGTATAGGGCATAGTCGATTGAAAAAGCCATACGACATCCCAGGTGAGTAAACGATTTCGGCATGCGCGCGACGACGCGCGCGTGCGCACTTCGTCCCTTTTGTTGCAAGGGGCTCTGGGACATTTATGATTTCGAAGCAACGAGAGTGGGCACATACTGTTCGTTCTGCAAGGGGTAAGGGTGGGCGATACCGCTCGGCGGGGACCATCGGAGTTCATTTAGAGAATGAACCGTGGGGCAGAATCAGATGTGAATTACAAATCCCCAGGGGGCGGATCATCCTCGGGGAACGGTAGATACTCATTCTTGTTTGGAAGGGGAGCCCTGTATGATGCAGTATACGCGTTGCAAACTTACGCTGTGCAACTTGGGCGGCGACGAGGCGGCGTCGGCGACAACGTAGCCGCCAGACCGACATTCAGGCCCAGCCGACGGGCGGCGACGAGGCGGCGCCGGGGTGGCGACGGCGACGACATGTCTGCCAGACCGACAACCAGGCCCAGACGACGGGCGGCGACGAGGCGGCGCCGGGGTGGCGACGGCGACAACATAGCGGCCAGACCAACCATCAGGCCCAGCTCATACAGTCGGGGCGTTGACCTAAGTGAAACATCGATTTCCGATCGGAAACATAAGGAAAACCTGAGGCAAGCTGCGCAACACTTCAGGAACGCGCAGCCCCTCCCCAACGAAAAGGGCTCCTTCTTCGGGGCCCCGACCGTGCGAGAAATGTGCGGGGCCGTGGCTCTGCGGACAAGTGCTACGATGCTCCGGGCTCCGGTCGGTCGCTCGCTCGTCGCCTGGGGCTCGAGAGGGAGAACGGGCCGTGGCAGCGGGGGCCCTCCCGAACGGGCCGCGGGGCATCGATGATTCTCCTCGCCCGCCGCGGGGGGAGAGCCGCGCGCGCGCGGGCGCTCGCCCCCCAGGCTCACCGCGGGAAGCCCCTCTCGCGCTGCTGCTCCGAGGCCTCCACGCTGGGGAGGGGAGGCGCCCGCGTCGTGGCAGAAGTCATGGCGGAGGGCGTTGGCCTGTGTTCAGCCCCTGGGAGGACCGTCGAAGAGCGGGATGCGAGGCCGGCCCCGAGGGAGGGGTCGAACTTACGGGCCACATCCCAGAAATACTACTACTACTACGACTACTACTACTACTACTACTACTACTACTACTACTACTACTACTACTATTACTACTACTACTACTACTACTACTACTACTACTACTACTACTACTACTACTACTACTACTACTACGACTACTACTACTACTACTACTACTACTACTACTACTACTACTACTACTACTACTACTACTACTACTACTACTACTAGTACTACTACCACTACTACAAGTCCGAGCACCCAAGGAAGTATCGAGGCAGTTTCGAACGAATATCGCCTCCCAGGGCCCGACACGTGAAAACCCTCACGTTTCGGTACCGTCTTGGTGCTCGGGATTCTCTCTGGTGAACAAGGCTAAAGTAGGTTGGAACATCATATCGGCGGTGGACAGACCTCCGTTCAATACACCACCATTTTAATGAAAACGGCCTAGGACCGAAACCGACGGACATGGACCCGCAACTAAAAACGGCCGCGACGCCCTCTCGCGAACCGGAAACGGCCAATTCGCTAATCGACGTGCCAGAGTAAGAGGTTTATCGTCAGGTCAGGCATGTCCCCCTACAGGGGAATTGTGGACGAGAAAAAAAGGCCAGCAGACTCAAAACATGCTCAACACATCGTCCCCGAATAGTCCTCCTGTAGAGGGACAGGCCCGACTTACAGTCGGGGGCTTGACCTAAGGAACCCTGAATCAGGAACGAGGCCCCTTTTCTCCATACGTTAGACTTCGATTTCCGATCGAAAACATAAGGAACACCTGAGGCAAGCTGCGAAACAATCAAGGAACGCGGAGCCCCTCCCTAACGAACAGGGTTCCTTCTTCAGGGCCCCGACTGTAAGCTGATCAACCTCCGATCATCAGTCGGGGCTTCCGGGGGGCCCCGCACCGAAGAACACCCCAGACATCGCGCGTGCGGCGCGGGGCGGCTCGTCGTGGCGTGCTCTCGGCGCCTCGCCGCCGCGCGCGCGGCCAGCGGGCGGGTGGCGTGGCGGTCGGAACGGTTCCTGCGCTCACCGCCTTGGAGAGCATTGCATCTTCGATCGTCGATCGATTCCTCAATCAGTGCGTGCACGGACGGGGTCCTGGCGGAAGCGGAACATGTTGGCGAACGTTTCCCGCCGATCCTGGTCGCCCGCTGGGTTCCCAGGCTCCCGGCTCCAGGTGCCCAGGTTCCTGGCTTTTGGTTCTGGGCCGATTTCGTTGGGTTCCGGGTTCCTGGGCTCCCGATGGATCTCCTTATCGATCAAAGCATCCACTGATTGGGGTTTTTCTCTGATGTAATCCCACCAGCCCTCTGGGCGTCGGTGGTTTAGGCAGTTTCCTCTTCCACCCCTCCTTCTTCTACTTCGGGGAGGGGTTTACCCCTCGCCCTACCCCCTCCTCTGGACCTGGACGGGGTGTTCCGCGAGTCGTCGGAGCGTCCAAAACGATCTCGGCGAGGAAGCCCAAATCATTGGTTTTACTATGGTTTTGGCTCCATTTTGGCCTCCTGAGGGGGGGGGGCCAATTAATGCTCCCCTCTTGTTTGATCGATCTCCTCTAAGATGGCCCCAAGAAGCGCCCAGGAGGCCCCAAGAGGTCCCAAGATGGCCCCAAGATCGCCCCAAGAGGGCCCCAAGAGGCCCCCAGGAGGCCCCCAAAAGGATCCCAAGCGGCCCAAAGAGGCCCCCCCGAGGCACCCAAGACGCCGAAGAGCCCCCAACGACCGCCAAGAGACCCCCAAGACGTCCCAAGACGCCCAAGAGATACCCCAAGGCTCCGAGAAGCATCCAAGAGACCTCTGGCCCTTTTGCTTGCTCTCCTCCTCCTCCTCCACCTCCGCCTCCGCCTCCTCCTCCTCCTTCCTCCTCCCCTCCTCCTATCCCTTCTCATCCTCCTCCTCCCCCTCCGCCTCCTCCTCCTCCTCATCATCATCTTCATCCTCCTTCTCCCCACTCCCTCATCCATCCATCCAATTTTCTCCCTCGCCCCCTCTCTCCTTCACACAGTTCGGCCGTCCCCCTCTTTGCTTCTGCACTTCCCTGATCACCTCTCAACTCGCCTGGACATCGCTTCTGGATGGGCTGGTGGGGATACTTTTTTTTGTTCGGCGGCCCGCAAGGAAAAGGATAGGGGCAGCCCGGACTTGCCATCGCTCGGACGCCCATCTCCCGTGTACTGTTTGGCTTCGTCCACATTTGTGGTCTCGAGATGCCCCGATCTGCTCCGAGGTGCTACAGAATTGCCACTTGCCCGGCGCCGGCCTCGCCGGGCACAACGCACACGTCCGAGCGATGCGGAGCTGAAGCAGGCGAACCCACACATTTGTTCGTCAGCAGCGCAGCGGCGAACTCCGCTCCGGCGAGAAGCTACAACCCTCGTCAAAATGAACCTCAAAAATGTTCGACGTGGTTGGACTGCTTGTCAGAAGATCTGGGGCCGAGTATCGATGAGTGCGGGGTGCTTGCATGCGCCGCCCCTCCAATGTCGGTCGACGTCAAACTTTCGATTCAACTTCGGTCAGACTATCTTTGCCCTCGCCCCGACATTGAAGGGGCGGCGTGTCGACATTGAGGGGCGCGCCGAAATCGAAACGACGTGCCAGCAACTGTTGAGGTTAATTTTGACGAGCAGAAAGGGGCACTGACTAGCGAATCGACTGGCGGGCAAAGAGAGGGGCGGGGGACGGCCGAGAGGAAGTAGGCACGCTCAGGCGTCGAGGAGGTCGACGATGAGCAGCCGGGGGGGGGAAGCAGCAGCCAGCAGGCGACGAGCCCACACGTGGAGGGTTCGGCCCGTGGGAGCGGGCGCACCGGGCTGCGGCGGAGCGGCTCGGGCGGCCCAGGCGTGAGGGGGTGAGGCAGGCCCCAGGGCCGCGCACGAGGCCGAGATGACGGAGGGCACTAACGAAGAGCATGCCGACTCTGGGGCTTAGTGGGCCCTGGAAACGACAGGGCTGTTTTTTTCACCAGTTCCGTTTTGCCGTTCTTGTTGCCGTTTTACCGGTGCCGTCGCCGTTTTTTGAAAGGTTCTGGCTCCGGTTCCAATCCTGGAGCTGTTTTTTAGCCGTTTCCGGTCGCTTTTTTTTTGCCGTTTCCATTTTCAAAAGGCATTTTTTGGAAACGGTGAAAAAACGGCCCTGCCGTTTCCGGGGCCCACAAAGCTCTGGGGGGCTTTGGACTGGACCCGACATGTTGGGTCTCACTCCTGGATCTACGATGGGGGGGGGGTCCATCCTGGACAGAGGTGCGTCCGAGCAGCCCCCTGAAGGTGCATCCCCGGCTCTCTCGGGAGTGGAGCGCAGAGCCTGCTTGCGTACTTGACCGCCAATGGGGAGCATGAGGGCATGCGGCATGGAGGAGGACCAGGAGGAGGGGGAGGACGAGGAGGGGGAAGAGAGGAGGAGAACGAGGAGAAGGAGGAGGAGGAGGAGGAGGAGGGAGGAGAAAGAGGAGGAGGAGGAGAAGGAGGAAGAGGAGGGAGGAGAAAAAAGGAGGAGGAGAAGGAGCAGGAGCAGGAGGAGGAGGAGGAGAAGGAGAAGGTGTTCTGCACGACGTGTCGCTTCGGGGGCAGCTCGGGGATCGCGGGCGAACAGTCGCCAGTGAGGCATACCCTCGGAAACGCCGGCGCACGCAAGCGCGCATCTGGGGCGGAGTCGGCGGGGTCTGGCCTGCGCCGGGGGCACGGGGGCGTTGGAGAGCGGGCGGGAGAGCAGAGGACGGCTGCGGAGGCGTCGGGGCTCAAGAGACAGGGGAGAACGCAAGCGGGGGTCAGCAGAGCGCCGGGTCTTGTAGGATTCTGCAGAACCAGGGATGCACTGGCCTGGATCCTGCAGGATCGTGCAGGATCCTGCAAGGCCTGACTGACCCGGGTCTGGATTGACCCGGGTCAGAGGATCCCCGGAAACCGGAGGGGGAAGGGGGAAGGAGGCTTGGCCGTCGAGGATCGGCGGAGTGGCGAAGGGTACGCCCATCGCAGCCTTCGAGTATCGACGCAAGCGCCACCAGTTAGGCCCTCTCGGACACATCGTTTCTTCAGCGTTCCTCCGACTTTATACCGATTGCCTTGTCACGTCTGCACGCCTAAGATCACCAGGTCGAGCGAATCGAGGACGGAAGGCCGGAAGGCCTCACCAACGATGGCGCCGATCTTTAAGTCAGGCTGGGAACATGTTGGGAGGGAGGCTGTCAAGTGGCCATGTCGCAGGCATCCGAGCGACGAGAATGTCACTGGTCGAGATAACCGCTCGGACCGATGAGAGTGTGGGGTGGCCTTGTGTTCAGGCCACGCCAGGGGCATTCCAATAAAGGCATGTTGCGCAGAGGGCTACGGCAGTAATAACAGCAGTACAGGAGCGGCCCACGAACCAAGAAAAGAACTATCGGTGTCCCGAGCATTGAGCATGCGCGCTGCCTCGGGACTGTCGTTGTCGGCGCCCTCCTCCTCCTCCTCCTCCTCCTCCTCCTGCTCCGCCTCCGCCTCCTCCTCCTCTTCCTCCTCCTCCCCCCCGTTTGCCTCGCGCCTCGCGCCACGCGGCCTCCAGATCTTCCAGAAAGGTGGCAAATTGGCACACCCTGCTTCTACAGTGTGCGGTCGCGGTCGCAAGAAACCCTGGCAAGAAACCCAACACTGAAAACATCCGCGCGAATGGCTCACCTGAAGGGCAGCCCGGAGCACCCTGGACGCAGCAGCTTCTGCGACGGCCGCGGGAAGTCACCACGCAGCGCGCGGAGCGAAGACACCAAGGGCACCCTGACGACAAGCAGACGGTTTCTCGATGCGTGCCCCCGCTGTATGTCACAGAGAGACTCATTGCGCCGACCCAGAAGACGAAAGGATTGCACCAAGGGGGCGCGCCACGGGGGGCGGGCCACACGACGTGCGATGGGACGGGCCAGCGGGGGTGTCAGGTGACGCGCCACGGGACGCGCTCGGGGACCTGCCGGGGCGCGCCCAGGGACGAGCCAAGGGTGCGTGCCAAGGGATGCGCCAGGGCTCCCGGGGCGAAGCGATTCCGACAGTCATGGCACAGCAGCGTGGCCGCTATGGGGCACATATGCATGCGCTATGGACCAGTCAGTGCGGCGGGCGAGCACTGACAAGGCAGCCCTGGGGCGGGGTCGGATGTAGCCTTGGGGTGGAGTCGCCCTGGAGCACGGGGGGCGCACGGGCTGCTGCCGATCAACCCCTTCTTCTCCACGGTGCCCATGCGTCTCCTCCCCGCTGCCCGCTGCCTCCGCCGTGCCGGTGCTCAGCAGGGGGGCGCGGCAGCCTTCGCGATCGCCTTCGTGTAGAACCTGTGGCTGGCCAGGTCCAGCACCAGCAGCGAGAGCAGGACTGCCCCTCGGGCGCCGGGAGGAGCAGGCGAGGCAGGCGCGCCGACGCGAGCCAAAGGGGGGCCACGGCAGCCGACAGGCGTTGCCCACGAGAGGGGAGCAAAAGGTGGCATAAACATAACAGGTCGGAGGCCCGCGCCCCCTCCTCGCATCGGCGCTGGACCCCCCTCCCTGGCGCGCGGGGAGCGCGCCAGGGGCGGCGCCGGAGGCGCCGCCGGGGGGCCCCAGCGCCGATCCGAGACATCCGCGCGGACCTCCGAGTTTTTATGCTTACAGTCGAGGCGTTGACCGAAGGAACGAAAAATAAGGAAGGAGGCCCCTTTTTCCCATACATGAAACTCAGATTTTCCATGGAAAACCTCAGGCAAACCCAAGGAGCACTGTAAAGCAACTAAAGAACACGGAGCCCCTCCCCAACGAAAAGGGTTCCTTCTTCAGGGCCCCGACTGTATGTCACTTTTTGCTCCCCTACACAACGCCAACACCGGCAGAACTGGGGCCCCCGACGTCCTCCGAGGAGGCCTGCCCAGTCCGCGGCCCCTCAGGGAGCTCCCCGCTCCCTTCCCAGCGGGGGGGGGGCGGCGTCGTGAGCGCTCTGCAAAAGGGGGGGGGGGACAGCAAAGGGGGCCTTTGAGAATCAGCTCACGCAGCTGATTCTCCCGGCGCCTCCTGGCGCCCGTGTATCGAGGAATGGGGCCGACGGCGGGGCCGAAACCAGCTGCCTGCAGCAGGTTTCGTACCCCCCCACCCCTTTCCCTATATCCCCCCCTTGCGTTCGGCGCCCGAGCTTTTTTGACCGTCCGTGGGCCCCCAAAAAAGCGGACCTCGGGCCTCGGAGGTCGAAGTGCTGCTTCCCCCCCTCGCAATCTGTCGGAGAGATGGGGGAAGGAGGCGAAAGGGGAAGCCGTCGGCCCCATTCCTCGATACACGGGCGCCAGGAGGCGCAAGGAGGCGCCGGGAAAATCAGCTGCGTGAGCTGATTCTCAAAGCCCGCCTTTGCTGTCCCCCCCCCCCCTTTTTGCAGATCGCTCGCGACGCAGGCCCCCCCTCCTTTGGGAAGGGAGCGGGGAACTCCCTGAGGGGCCGCGGACTGGGCAGGCTTCATCGGAGGACGTCGGGGGCCCCAGTTCTGCCGGTGTTGGCGTTGTGACTAGGGGAAACAAAAAGTGGCATAAACATACAAACTCGGAGGTCCGCGCGGATTTCTCGGATCGGCGCTGGGGCCCCCCGGCGGCGCTTCCGGCGCCGCCCCTGGCGCGCTCCGCGCGCCAGGGAGGGGGGTCCAGCGCCGATCCGAGAAATCCGCGCGGACCTCCGAGTTGTTATGGTTATGTCACTTTTCGTTCCCCTAGTGGCGATCATCCTGCCGATCCGCTCGTCATTCTGCCCACCGCGCGGGCACCTCGGGAGCCCAAGCGAAGGGAACACGCCGCGACCGAGCGCAAACGCAGAAGCAGCCGGAGGTCTGCTATGGGGTGGGAGCTCGGGGCCGCGCGCACCCGCTCGAAGCTAAGCAGGGGCGGCGCTCCCGCCGCGCCGCGGGCCACGCTACGGCAAGCAAGCTCCTGCCGCGACCCCTGAGATCCGACGCCGAAAATACTGCAGCATCGAGACAGACCTCGACCCGAACCCCGGGCCCCACCTCTCTGTCGCACTCCTCAAGCCGGATCGGATCCGTGAGGGTCCCTAGGGGCCCGAAACAGGGCGAAATCGCCCGCTGCGAGAAAGAACACGCCAAGGTTTTAGGGAAAGCGTGGGTGGACCAGAAAACATACTCGGCGGGATGTGCGTACCCCCCTACTCCGCCGGACCTCCCGGGAATCCATGCAAGTGGCGGCGGTTGCGCAGTTCGCAGCCTCCCAGGGAGCTGCGAGGTCTCGGATGGGTGCGCGTACTGCGAGGTCTCGGATGGGTGCGCGTACTCCCCTACTCCGCAGTGGAACCCAAGAAAAAGTGGCGACTGTTGTGCAGTTCGCACTCCCCCAGGGAGCTGCGAGGACTCGGCTTGATGTGCGTACTCCCCTACTCCGCCAGACCTCCCAGGAGCCCACAAAAGTGGCGACGGTTGCGCAGTTCGCACCCCCCCCGGGATCTGCGAGGTCTCGGCTTGGCGCGCGTACTGCGCAGCCCCGCCGGACTTCCCAGGAACCCACGAAACTGGCGGCAGTTGTGCAGTTCACAGCTCCCCAGGGAGCTGCGAAGTATCGGAAGTTCGCGTATTCCCCTACTCCGTAATGCTTCCCAGGAGCTCATGCAAGTGGCGACGGCTGCGCAGTTCGCACCCCCCCAGGGAGTTGCGAGGTCTCGGCTTGGCGCGCGTACTGCGCAGCTCAGCCGGACCTCCCAGGAGCCCACGAAACTGGCGGCGGTTGTGCAGTTCGCAGCCCCCCAAGGAGCTGCGAGGTCTCGGATGCGTGCGCGTATTCCCATACTCCGCAGTGCTTCCCAGGAGCTCGTTAAAGTGGCGACGGCTGCGCAGTTCGCACCCCCCCAGGGAGCTGCGAGGTTTCGGTTTGGCGTGCGTGCTCCGCTGCTCCGCCGGACCTCCCAGGAGCCCACGAAAGTGGCGGCGGTTTTGCACTTCGCAGCCCCCACGGAGCTGCGAGGTCCTGGCTGGGTGCGCGTATTCCTCTACGCCGCCGTACATCGCAGGAACCCACGACAGTGGCCACCGTTGCGCAGTTCGCAGCCACCTCTGGAGCTACGAGGTCTCGGCTGGGCGCACATACTCCCCTACCCCGCTGGACCTCCCAGGAGCCCCCGAAAGTGGCGACAGTTGCGCAGTGCGCAGCCATCCATGGACCAGCGCAGGAGGAGGCAGGAAGAGAGAGGCGAAGGAAAAGGAGCGAATACCATGATACTCTATTCAAAACGAGAATCCAACACAGGAGAACTGGGAAACAAACGATATGCGGTGCATACCAGCTGCAGTTACCCACGCCTCCCCACGCCCCCAACGCTCACGATCCTATGCAACTCAAAAGCATTTCTGCACATCCCCGATTTTAAACCGGCTCCCCAGGGATATCCCAAACATTACGAACACATGAAAAGCGCCCCCCGCCCCCAACATGAGGAACTTTAGACCCATGGGACCGACAAGCGACGCGCGAACTGAGAGCGGAAACTGTTCGACGGTCAGCCAACGACAACGCCGCGACATTCAATGCGAACGGCGCGCTACCGCCAGCTCATTGGCGTTTGAACTTGACGTTTTCTTGTGTTGGCGCGCGGTCCACGCCCAAAATCATTGTGGACATTCGCGCGCTCGTGCCGGGGCAAAAACCGAAGGGCGCGTCGGCCCTTGGCGGCGCTGGCAATAACCTCACGCGGAGCCCGGGGCCCGCCCCGCACGGGCGCGCATCGAAAAGTTAAGATCCGCCCCGAAAACAAAGTTTAGGCACCAGGCGAAAAAGTTTATATACACTCTATATAAAATAAATCTAAACTCTTCCGAAGCAGAAAGTCTCGCGCGGGAAGGCCCCGAAAAGTTTATATAAACAGGAAAACGCGTTTATATAAACGCCCAAAAAGATTTCTATTGGACCAGTTGCCATACGAGAAACGCTCCCGATCTAAACTTGTTCGCCAGCGGGGTCAGGAGGGGGCGACGGAGGCGGGCGCGGGGGCCCTCGGCTGGGCCAGCGGCGCTGCCGCGCGAGGGACAGCGCCGCCGTCGCCTCAAACTGCGAGCCGCGGCTGTGGCACGCGCCGCCCTGGGAATGCCGGCGCGGGCGCGGCCGCGTCGAGCGGGCCCAGGACGTCGCCGCGCGCTGGGCCCCCCTGCGGCAGCTGGCAATGGTCTCGCCGACAGGGCGCCTACACTTACGCCCATTCGCCGTGAATGCAAAACGCTGAAATCTAAAATCGATGGTTGTGGGGGCTGGGGTCGGTTTCCCCTGTTCATATTACAAGTTCGCAGTTCGCAGCCGCCCAGCGATGGCGAAGTCGACTCTAGGTTTCCGTAAGGCGTCATTCCGCTGGACCCTCCAGCAACCATGGAACGTGGCGACAATTTCGCAGTTCGCAGCCCCCCAGGGATGGCGAGGTCTAGTGTAAGTCTGCATACGGCGCTACTCCTCTGACCCCAGAACAGCCTTCAAAAGTGGCGACGGTTGCGCAATTCGCAGCCCCCAGGTATCACGAGGTCTAACGTAGATCTGTGTATGGCGTCACTTCGCTGGACCTCCCAGCAACCCTCGAAAAGGTCAACTGTTTCGCCCTTCGCGGTCCCTCAGAGATGGCGAGGTCTAGTGTAGGTCTGCAAAAGGCGTCACTCCGATAGACCCCCCAGCAGCCTTCAAAAGTGGCGACGGTTGCACAGTTCGCAGCCGACCATGGATGGCGAGGTCGAATATAGGTCTACGTATGGCGTCGCGTCGCTGAGTCTTTCAGCAGGACTTGAAGGTGGCGGTAATTTCGCAGTTCGCAGTCCCCCCTCCCAGGGGTGGCCACGTCTAATGTAAATCTGCAAAAGGCGTCTCTCCGCCGGACTCCCCAGCAGCCCTCGAAAGAGGCGACGGTTTTGCAAATCGCAGCCCCCCAGGGATGGCGAGGTATACTGCAGACCTGTGTAAGGCGTCCCTCTGCTAGACCCCCAGCGGCCCTCTAACGTTGGGACAGCTTCGCAGTCCGCAGCCTTCCAGCGAGCCCCGAGGCAGAACGGCCGCAGATCTGCTGATCTGAACCTCGCCTTCTCAGGCCTTCTACACTCACGACTCCATGTAAAACGTATGCTATTCTCCACCTCCGGGTCGCGCATCTGCTGATCTCAGCATCGCCTTCTGAAGCCCTCAACCTTCACAATCCAATGCTCAATCAGGTGTTCTTTTCTGCACACGCCCGATCTGAACCTTTCACGAGGGAAATCTGTGCCGCGCGATCCGCACCTGATGATTTCAACATCGCCTTCTCAAGCCTTCAACCTTCACGATCCGATGCACATGATCGGTCTTTCTGCACACCCCCGGTGCCAAAGTTTCACGATGGACATCTGTGCCACTAACGCCACTCTGGCCTAACCCTCTCCAGCGCAAAAGGGAAAGGTGGAAGGGGAGGGGGGTGGCCCCAAATCCCCCCCCCCCCCTCTCCGGCGCAAGGGGGGGGGGGGTCCGAAACCCCCACTACCCCCCTTCAAAGGAGGGGGGGACCGAAAATCCGCCCCCCCCACTTGAAGCTAGGAGGTGGGGGCTGGGCGAGCCCCCCCCCTTTTCAATAAGAGCGGCATCCACCGGCGCTCGTTCTTTCGGAGCTCGTCTACGAGGTGTACCCTTACGTCGGGCGCGTCCCCCCACAGGGGGGAGGTTCGACGAAACACAAAAAGTACCCCAGAAATGCTCCAACTTGGTCAACAAATACTTTTAAATTAATCACAAGACTATTCTTTTACTATTTTTGAAGCTTCCCCCTGTAGAGGGACAGGCCCGACTTACGTGTACCCCCTCACGGGGGCGTCCGAGACCCCAGAGTCGGTGGGATCCCAGGGGAAAGTCTCGCGGGAGGTCGCAGATCCTCCTCCTTCTCGGCATGGGAAGCGGGAGGAGGAGGAGAAGGGGGGGGTCTGACGCTTCAGCGGCTGGACCGCTCTGAGCTCGACCAAGAAAAAAGAAGGGGGGGGAGGAGGAGGAGGAGGAGGAGGAGGAGGAGGAGGAGGAGGAGGAGGAGGAGGAGGAGGAGGAGGAGGAGGAGGAGGAGGGGGAGGAGGAGGGGGAGGAGGGGGAGGTGGAGGGGGAGGAGGAGGAAGAGGGCCCTCGTGAGGGACGCGGGTCCTGGACCCAGGGCCTTCCACCAAGACTGGCTCTTCATCCTGCATCGTTGCTCCACGGTCCTGGGCCCCTGGGAGGGCCCCGAAACCCCGAGGGCCGTGAACAGAGCACGTGGCCAGATTTGCGCGGATCCGTTCACGGACATCCTCCGATCTGCTTTGGTTCAACCTGCGGCCCCCTCGATCTCCGCCAGGATAGCAATGGGGCTCCGAACGCAGTCCCCGGACGCCGAAAGCAGGAGAAAACGGCCGCGATTGAAGGCATCACAATGTCGGGGATCTGTCTGTGCTTGCATCGTGGCGATCCCTTCTCTCCCCTTCCCCGACTTTCTTTGACGTCACGAAAAAGTGTCCCTGACGATGTGCCCAATACTTGCGCAGCGTGTTGCCAACATTGTTGGGGGAATGCCACTGACGTGATGACGTGACAGTGACTAGATGTCGGGCCAACTGTTCCTGGGAGGCCCGCGAGCTGTGCGACTCTCAGGACACCGATCGATGGAGAAAGGCTTGACGGAGATGAGAAAATACCTCCTGTCTCGAAGGGAACGAGGGGCGAAGATTGAGAGGAACAGGCCGACGAGGATCTTGAAGCATCCGCGGGGCAGCAGCACGAGGACGTGGCAACAGGAAGGCAGGAGGTGACGACGAGAGGAAGGCAGAGGGTGGCGAGAGCTTATGCTTCCGGACGCGCCACCCATCCGTTAAGTCGCTACGCGAGCTGCGCGAGGCTGGGCTGCTCTGCCGGGTGCTGGGCCTTTCCCCAGGCATGCCCCAATGCGGGATGCAATTTGCATCCCGCATTGGGGCATGCCTGGGGATGCAATTTGCATTGGGACCAATCGTATCATTACTTTTCCTTCGTATTCTTATTATTCCTCTTATTCTTCCCCTGGAACCGTGGCGGCTCTCTGAGATCCTGGCGTCGCATTTTTCCACGGCGGGCGACCCTGCCTTGCTTCGAGCCCCGGGGCCCTCTCGGATCGATCCGGCCGGAAAAGGCGGTATAAAAAGATGGGGGCCGGGACTCCATGAAGGGGCCCTGGGACACACAAATAAATACATACAAATAAAAGGATTCCCCCAATGTTCCCATATGTTCTGGGTTTGTGCCTTCCCCCCCACTTCCCATATTTTCCCATATTTTCTGGGGAATCGACGATTCATTGTGTATGTGTGTTTTTTCCCTCCTGAGTAAAGGCGCGCAGGCGCACCGCGAGGTCTAACCTGAGTCTGCGTAGGACGTCACTGTGCTGGACCCCATCCAGCAGCCCTCGAAAGTGGCGACGCTTTCGCAGATCGCAGCCTCCCCACGGAAGGCGAGGTCGGCGGCAGCTTCGCAGATCGCAGCCCCCCCAAAGATGGCGAGGCAACATCTGAATCAAAGCAGAACGTCACTGGGCTGGCCCCCCAGCAGCCCTCGAAAGTGGCAGGGGTTTCGCAGATCGCAGCCCCCCAAAGATGGCGAGGTCGAATATGTACCCGCGTAAGACGCAACTAAGCTGCCTCTCCCCCCCAGCAGCCCGGGAAAGTGGCGACGGTTTCGCAGATCGCAGCCCACCAGGGACGGCGAGATCTAATCTAGGTCCGCGTAGGGCGTCACTGCGCTGTCCCCCCAGAACCCTCGAACATGGCGGCAGTTTCGCAGATCGCAGCCCCCCCAGGGATGGCGAGATCTAATCTAAATCCACGTATGGCGTATGTTGCTGCCCCCTCAGCAGCCATCGAAAGTGGCGACAGTTTCGCAGATCGCAGCCCCCAGGTATAGCGATGCCAAATCTGAATCCGCATATGGCGGCACTTTGCTTCCCCACCAGGGATGACGAAGTGGTGATTGTTTCGCAAATCGCAGACCCCCAATGATGGCGAGGTCTAACCTGAGTCTGGGTATGGCAACACTATGCCCCCCTCCTCCAGCAGCCCTCGAAAGTGGCGGCGACAATTTCGAAGAGCGAAGACCCCCTATCGATGGCGAGGTCTAGTCTTCATCTGGGTATGGCGTCACTGCGCTGGCCCCCCAGAAGACCTTGTACGTGGCGACGGTTTCGCAGATCGCAGCCCCCCCAGGAATGGCGAGGTCTAGTCCGAGTCTGGGCACGGCGACACTACGCAGACCCCCCCCTCACTATCTTTCGAATGTGGCGACGGTTTCGCAGATCGCAGCCCCCCCAGGGATGGCGAGGTCGAATCTGAGTCTGGGTATGGCGACGCTGTGCTGCCTCCCATGGGCGGCGGGGTCCAACCTCAGTCTGGGCCTGCCGACACTGTGCTGCACCCCCCAGCAGCCCTCGAAAATGGCAACGGTTTCGCGGATCGCAGCCCCCCCCCCAGGGCTGGCAAGGTCGAAGATGAATCTGTGTATGGCGACACTGTGCTGCCCCCCCCCCATGCAGCCCTCGAAAGTGACGACCGTTTCGCAGATCGCAACCCCAAAGGGATGGCGAGGTCTAACCTAAGTCTGGGTTTGGCGACACTGTGGTCCCCCCAGCGGTCCTCGAAAATGGCGGCGGTTTCGCAGATCGCAGCCCCCCAAGTATGGCGGGGTCTGATCTGAGTCCGGGTATGGCGTCACTGTGCTGGCCCCACCAGCAGCCCTCGAAATTGGCGACACTTTCGTAGATCGCAGCCCCTCAGGGACGGCGAGGTCTAGTCCGAGTGCGTGTATGAGAACATTGCGCTGGCCCCCCAGTAGCCCTCGAACGTGGCGACGGTTTCGCAGATCGCAGCCCCCAGGGATGGCGAACTGTGAGGCAGGTGCGAGAGAGGTACGAGACAAGAGAGAGAGAGAGAAAGAGAGAGAGAGAGAGGGAGGGAGGGAGGCGGGAAGGAGGGACGCGACCACAGTGCTCGACTCAAAACGAGAACCCTACGTAGGAGGGTTGGGAATGAAACCTTGTGCGAAACTCGGCTGGAGCCTTGGACTACATTTTTCTGCCGCACCTGTCGAGCCCCATCGATCCGTGAGGGCCCCGGGGCCGAAACGAAGCCAAATGGCCCGACGCTGGGATCTCAGGGCCCTCCTCCTCCCCGTCCTGGAGCCCCTCCAGCCTCCTCCTCCTCCTCCTCCTCCTCCTCCTCCTCCTCCTCCTCCTCCTCCTCCTCCTCCTCCTCCTCCTCCTCCTCCTCCTCCTCCCCCCCTCCGCGCGACCCCCCCCCCCTGCCGACCGAGGAGGGTCGGCACGGCGGCGTTCCAGACGCAGGTCCTCTGGGGCGCGCCCGGCCCCGCGCCCTCCGCCCCCGCGCCAGGGGGGAGGAGCGCAGGATGCTCCCCGAGGCCTCTCGCTGCTCAAGCCCGGGCACCTCCCCCCGCACACTGCGGACGAGGCACGGCGGGCAGCGCCCGAGCCCGCTCCTGCCTCCGAGGGCCCTCCCCCCCCCCCCCCCCCTTGCCCTGGGACCGTCGGCATACTGCCCAGGATGCAGGCACGGTCCAGGCATCTGGGGCTGGCCATCGCTCGGGCGTCGATTCCCTGTGCTTTTTTGTTGTCGGTGTCGTGCGTGGTTTCTTCGCCAGATGATCAAGGATTCTCCTCGAGGGTCCTCGCCGAAGGAAACATGCACACGTCCGAGCGATGCCAAGGGGGCGTCGGGGCTGCGATAGAGCTCACGACGTCGAACGGCTGGGGGCCCCCCGGCGAGCAGCTTTTCGCGATCGCGGCGCGCGCTCCTCGCTGCGGCCCTCCGGGGCCGCGCTCGGGCCGCAAAACGGCCCGCCAGAGGTCGGATCGGCGGCTGCCCGGGCAGCGCGCGCCGGAGCCACGCGAGCCTGCAGGAAACGGCCCACCTGCACCGCACAGCGTCGCCCAACGCCGCTCGGTGACGGGCGCGGTGCTGTGCGGCGTCGAGCGGTGCGGAGCGGTGTCGCGCGAGGGTGCTGCGCGGTGCTGCGCGGTGCTGCGCATCATCGCGCGTCTGCGCTGCTCCTGTGGAGTGTGGAGTGATGGTCTCCAGCATATGGATCGGACACGTAGTCTCACCAATCCAAACCTCCAACGTCTGAAATAAATCGGCGGAGCTGCTCGTCGGTCGCGGCGTCTCGGTGGCAAAATCTAGGGCCCCAGGATGGGGGCGGAGGATCGCGCCTCATCGCCGATGCACGGCGACGTCGGTGATGCATCAGCGCCGTGGGGGTGGAGAGAAATCGGGCTCTTCATCGAGTCGCATCGGCGATGCATCGTCGATGTGGCGCGATCCTCCGACCCATCTACTCGCATCCCATCTGGGAGGCCTGGAATCATGAAACAGCCAAGCATGAGAAACGGGCCCGAAGCTGTCGAAGGATCCAGGGTGACCCCGAGAAGAGAATATCAAGGCGCCGTGGGGCCTGAGGCACGGTGCGTGGTGGTAGCGCTTTCCCGAACATCCGACGCCGTGACTTCCCACGACGTGGCCGCCCAAGCATGTCGGGAGCGGCCAAGAGGGGGGTGTCCAAGAGGGGGGGATGCAAATCATGACCGGCGGCATGTGCGCGGCCCAGCGGGGGGGCCAGGGACGCAATGAAATACGTAGAGGCGCCATGAGATCTGGGGAGATATCATGGCCCCCGCCATGAGATCCACCCCCCCCTGGTCATCGCCCCCCTCTTTTCCGCCCCCGAGCAGGCTCGCGGTGTGAAAACAGCCTGGCGGAGGAGCTGATGGGCCGTGTTCGGCCCCTGGTGGCCCTCACAGGGGTCGGAAGACCATCAACAAACCGACTCGGGAGGAAAAAAAAAAACAGCCTCGGGGACAGGGCCGGGACCACGGAGGGCCTCGCATTGTACCAGCATCGAGCGTATCCCTACCCCTGAGATTGACACGCCAAAAGGCGATGACAATCTTCGGGGTTCGCCCTCAAAAAATAAGGAAATCCCCAAGATTGGCATCGTGATGAGGAGGTGCCCAGCATAGGGATATGGATATGTTCCAGGCTCGTACGCATCGGAAACAACCGAGACATCACACGTCTTGGTCCCCATTGGGGTCCGGACCCCTTCCCCGAGACTGGCTTGTCATCCTGCGGCCTCTCTTGACGGCCCCATGGGCCCGCTGAGGGCCCCGTGAGGGCGCACGTGTACAAAAGCCTTCCACCGTGATTTCTTCGCAAGGGGAGGGCATCATGGAGAAGCCAGCATCTACCGATACCGCCACTCCCCAGACCTCTCCAGGGGTGCGTTCCGACCAGGACGTCGAGGCGAATCCGGCGGTGGCGAAGAGGGCCTCCCAGCAGGCCCAGGAAAAGGGGAACACGGGCGAAGGGTAGCAGTAGGGGCGCCTTTTCCTCCTCTTAACGTCAGGGTGGATGCCATCTCCGACCCGTCGCCCATGGGGCCTGCCTCGACGAAACCGCTGGCTGGCCATCGCTCGGACGTCGATTCCCTGCTTTTTTTTCGGTTTCGTGCGTGGTTTTTTCGCCAAATGATTAAGGATTCTCCTCGACGGTCCTCGCTGAAGGAAACATGCGCACGTCCGAGCGATGCCAAGCTAGCGCCCCTGGCGCCACGGCCGAGCGGCCGCGGCGCCTCCCGCGAGAGTCCCCCGCGCGCTTCCGGCCTGGCCCCGCGCACCGCCCCCGGGTGCCTCACGCGCACGAGCGCCAGCCGGCACCAGGTCGGGCGGGAGGAGGGGGGATACCCTCCTCCTCCTCTTCACTCCTCCTCCTCCTCCTCCTCCTCCTCCTCCTCCTCCTCCTCCTCCTCCTCCTCCTCCACTCCTCCTCCTCCTCCTCCTCCTCGTCCTCCTCCTCCTCACTCCTCCTCCTCCTCCCTCCTCCTCCTCCTCCTCCTCCTCCTCCTCCTCCTCACTCCTCCTCCTCCTCACTCATCCTCCTCCTCCTCCTCACTCCTCCTCCACCTCCTCCTGCTCCTCCTCCTCCTCCTCCTCCCATAGGACGGCAATTGTGTCATGATAGGAGTGGCGCAGGATGCGCTCCAGGATTTCCAGGATATCTAGCGGCCCTCGTCTCTGCAGCCCGTGTGAAGCATTACGGCAGCAGGGGGATCCTGGAAATGTTGGAAGGCTTGGAACGTATCATTATCACTTCTTCTTAATCGTATCGTTACTTTTCTTCGTATTCTTATTATTCCTCTTATTCTTCCCCTGGAACCGTGGCGACTCTCTGAGATCCTGGCGTCGCATTTTTCCACGGCGGGCGACCCTGCCCTGCTTCGAGCCCCGGGGCCCTCTCGGATCGATCCGGCCGGAATAGGCGGTATAAAAAAATGGGGGCCGGGACTCCATGAAGGGGCCCTGAGACACACAAATAAATACACACAAATAAAAGGATTCCCCATATTTTCCTACATTTTCTGGGTTTCTGTCGTCCCCCCCACTTCCCATATTTTCCCATGTTTTCCTTGGAATCGACGGTGAATTGTGTCTGTGTGTTTTTTCCGCTCCTGACTCCAGTCGAGTTGTTGTCTTCTTGTTCGCGACGGCGCACCTCAGGGGTTCACGAGTCCGCCGCGCGCACGAAAATCTCCCGGCGCCGCCCCGTGCAAGACGCGGCCACGCACCAGGGGAGGGGCCCGGCGGCGGCACCTAAGCCGGCGGCATGCAGCGTTCGGGGACCCCTCTCCGTTCCCCATTGCCCCTCTTCCTCCGACACGACTGTGCCCAGGCAGTGCCGAGGGTTTGGACGCCCGAAGTGGGTACGGGAAAAGTGGGTGCAATGCCCAACAACACATGATGTCCCAAACCGACAGCGGCCGCTGTTGGGCAGGCGGACAGCGAGTCCTGTTCAGAATGAATAAGAACTGCTGTTGGGCATTGTACCCATTCTCTCCGTGCCCATCTCGTCCGTGCAGAGAGGGGGATCACAAAGAACTGCCCGGCTGCACAAAAAAAGCACGTCGGTGCTGGGCGCGCGCGACGAAGACGCCGGAGGCCTGGGGACAAGGGGCTCCACCATCGCCGATCTCTGGCCCATGCGCCGGCCTCCTATCATGAAGTCGGGCGCGTCCCCCTACAGGGGGATTTTCGACGAAAAATAGAAAATACTCCAAAAGTACTCCAAAATCGTCAAAACATGCTACAAAATATTCCCCAGACTACGTTTTGACTATTTTTGAATATTCCCCCTGTATCGGGGATGGACAGACCCCCCTTTAGTAAAACGTGGCTTAGTGAAAACGACCTGAGGCCCAAACCTGGCGGGCGCAAGCGTGGAAAATGACGGCCGCGGCGCCCTCTCGAGCACCGAAAACGGACAATTCACTCATCCACGTGTCACTCTTGGGGGTCCTGTCCACCCCTGACTGTAGAGGGACAGGCCCGACTGAATCCTATCACCGGAGGAGGACCCGTCGAGACGACGCCGGCCCTCCCCGTTGTTCTTGGCTCCGTGTGGGCCTCTCCGGGCGGCTTCCCGTCGCCACGGCTGCATCCGCCTCGAGAAACAAGTCGGGGTGGACCCCGCGGGGAGGGGTCCAGGGCACGAGGGCCGCCATGGTCTCAGCTGGCCCTCCTCCGGCACAGATGTGGGCCAGCCGCGACCCAATGACATAGTCCAACGAAAACCAACAGAATCCTGGACCCCACCTCTGTGCCGCATCTTGCGAGCCGGATCGATCCGTGAGGGTCCTGGGGCCCGGACGGGCGAGATCGCCCGTTGCGGAAAAGTTGCGACGCCAGGATCTCAGAGTCAGGTCGGGCATGCCCCCCCCCCCCTGCAGGCGGTTTTTGGACGAAAATCAAAAATCAACTCAATACATCATCAACAACAGCCAAAGATGCTAGGCAAATCGCCCACTGACAATATTTTTGGTTATTTGTGCATATTCCTCCTGTAGAGGCACAGGCCCGACTTCATGTCAGAGTGACCCACTGGCTGCGAGACTCCCCACCCTGGCGCTCTCGACCCCATTCCTGTTTGGACGCCCGAAATGGGTACGGAAGAAATGGGCACAATGCCCAACAGCAAACGTTGTCCCAAACCAACAGCGGCCGCTGTTGGGCAGGCGGCCTTCTGTCTCGAGTGGGCACAGGCCGCGGCGGCACGGACAGCGAGTCCTGTCCAACATGAACAGGAACTGCTGTTGGGAGGGTACCCATCCTTTCCGTACCCACTTCGCTCGTGCCATTCCCGGGATCGGCCCGCCGAGCCCCGGCGGGCCCCGAGCCAGAGCGGCTCGCCAGATCGGCTCTCTGGGGGGCCTCGCCCGAAGCCAGGAGTGGATCTGCGACGCTCGGTGGAAAAATATATAGTCGGGGCGTTGACCTAGGGAACCCTGAATGAGGAACGAGGCCCCTTTTTTCGGGGATGGACAGACCTCCCTTTAGTAAAACGTGGTTTAGTGAAAACGACCTCGGGCCCAAACCCGGCGGGCGCTAGCCTGGAAAATAACGGCCGCGGAGCTCTCTCGAGAATCGAAAACGGACAATTCACTAATCGACGTGTCAGGGTAGGAGGTCTATCCACCTCCGATTTTCCATGGGTCAAACGTCCATTTCCCATCGAAAACATTGAAGGGCCTCCAGGACACACAAATAAATACACACAAATAACCGGCCTCCCCATATTTTCTTATATTTTCCGGGTTTCTGTCTTCCCCCCCACTGCCCATATTTTCCCATATTTTCTGGGGAATCGACGATTAATGGTGTCTGTATGTTCCTCTCCCTCCTGACAAACGTCCATTTCCCATCGAAAGCAAAAGGAAAACCCGAGGCAAGCCGTGAAACCATTGGGGGACGCGGCGCCCCTCCCCAACGAAAAAAAGCTTCCTTCTTCCGCGACCCGGCTGAAAAGTTATCCTGGCGAAGGACCCCACCATAAGCAATTGTTCGTAACGCGTTGTGGGTGCCGCTTTCGGTGGGGCTCCCGATGGGGCCACGAAACGCTGCCCTGGGTGGGGGAACCGCATGCGAGAGCAGCCACTGGGGCCTTCGGTGGAGTTCCCTATGGGGCCACGAAACGCTGCCCAGGGTGGAGGAACCGCATGCGAGAGCAACCACTGGGGCCTTCGGTGGAGCTCCCTATGGGGCCACGAAACGCTGCCCAGGGTGGGGGAAACGCATGCGAGAGCAACCACTGAGGCCTTCGGTGGAGCTCCCTAGGTGGCAACGATACGCTGCCCAGGGTGGGGGAAACGCATGCCAGAGCAACTACTGGGGCCTTCGGTGGAGCTCCCTATGGGGCCACGAAGCGCTGCCCAAGGCGGGGGAAACGCATGCGAGAGCAGCCACTGGGGCCTTCGGTGGAGCTCCCTATGGGGCCACGAAACGCTGCCCAGGGTGGGGGAAACGCATGCCAGAGCAACCACTGGAGCCTTCGGTGGAGCTCCCTGTGGCAACGAAACGTTGCCCAGGGTGGGGGAAACGCATGCGAGAGCAACAACTGGGGCCTTCGGTGGAGCTCCCTATGGGGCCACGAAGCGCTGCCCAGGGTGGGGGAAACGCATGCGAGAGCAACCACTGGTGCCTTCGGTGGAGCTCCCTACGGGGATACGAAACGCTGCCCAGGGTGGGGGAAACGCATGCGAGAGCAACCACTGGGGCCTTCGGTGGAGCTCCCTATGGGGCCACGAAGCGCTGCCCAGGGTGGGGGAAACGCATGCCAGAGCAACCACTGGGGCCTTCGGTGGAGCTCCCTATGGGGCCACGAAACGCTGCCCAGGGTGGGGGAAACGCATGCGAGAGCAACCACTGAGGCCTTCGGTGGAGCTCCCTATGGGGCCACGAAGCGCTGCCCAGGGTGGGGGAAACGCATGCGAGAGCAACCACTGGGGCCTTCGGTGGGCCACGAAACGCTGCCCAGGGTGGGGGAAACGCATGCGAGAGCAACCACTGGGGCATTCGGTGGAGCTCCCTATGGGGCCACGAAGCGCTGCCCAGGGTGGGGGAAACGCATGCGAGAGCAACAACTGGGGCCTTCGGTGGAGCTCCCTATGGGGCCACGAAACGCTGCCCAGGGTGGGGGAAACGCATGCGAGAGCAACCACTGGTGCCTTCGGTGGAGCTCCCTATGGGGCTACGTAACGTGTGAAAGCTGTGCCGAGTGCAGAGGCAAGGAGGGGGAGGAGGGAGGAGGGAGGGGGCAGCGGGAGGAGAAGGAAACGCGGGGCACCGTCTCTTCACAACGAGGACCCAACACCACAGGATGGTTGGCAAAAACCTTAAATTACCAGCCTCGAACTCATCCCTACCCCTAAGATTGACACGCCAAAAGGCGATGACAATCTTAGGGTTTCGCCCTCAAAGAATAAGGAAATCCCTAAGATTGGCATCGTGATGAGGAGATGCCCAGCATAGGGGTAGGGATATGTTCCAGGCTGGTAACTAAAGATTCCGGGACACCCCCCAGGACAGCGCGGACGACCCCTCCAGGATGCACATAATACCATGAGCGTCCCAACCCCCCTTGGACAAGCCTCCCCAGGTTCTGCTTTCAGTCGGTGCAGTCGCCAGGTCGAATCGACTCGGAATCGCGGGCCCCGGGTGTTCGCGAATCGAACCGCACCGAGCCGGATCGCAGGCGGCCTGCTCGGCAGGTCTCCCGACCCTGCAGGGCCCGAGGCCAACGCCCGCGGAGGCCGGCGCGCGGGGCTGGTCGCACAGCAGCGTGTGCCTCGCGGCAGGTGGCAGGCCCAGATGCCCGCCGGCGTGGTGTTTTGACCGCACGGCTCCCCGGACGCCATTTTCGGCCTCCGCCGAGGGGCCTGTTCTGCCGGGCCCATGGGCGGTCCAAGGGCGGCTCAGGATGAGAGGCTGGGCACATCGGGTCGAGACTTCGGAGGACTTCGCCGATCAAAACCAATACGATCGGATCTCTGGGTATTGGGGCCGTCTGCGCGAGCAGCTCTGAAATCCTGGCGACGCAAGGAATTCTGCAACGGGCGGTTCTGCCCCGTTTCGGGCCCACGGACCTTCACGGATCGATCCAGTTCGAAAAATGCAGCACAGGTGGGTTCCAGGACTCTGGTCGAGTTCTTCTACCTGCAATTCTCTCGTGACGCCGGATCTCTGGGCCGAATCATCTTCACGGCGCGGGGATGTCGGCGGAAGGGGTCTCCCCATGAGCCCGAGGGCAGCAATGTCGCTCCCCAGACGTCTGGACCCGGACGTGCTCGCGTCGCAAACAAGAATGATGACGACCGGTCTCTAGCCGTTGTCGGTCTCTGCAGGGGCCCTCGCCGGGCCCTGGGACCCGGGGATTCTGCCAGGGGGCCGGCAGCCGGCAGAGGGGGCCTCTAGGCCGAGGCCGAGAACGGGGAGGAACCTCTCTGGCCGGCCGTGTGCTTTCCTTGCGGGAGCGCCGAAGAACGGGGAGGGCAACGACGCACCGAACGGCCCAGACCACTCCCCCGGGTGCAGCCCAGAACCTCAAGGAGAGCCCCTGCCGCGGTGGCGCGGACCCTCCAGGACGAGCAGCGCGCCATCGGCGCCTCTTCCTCCCCGCAGCATCGGCCGAGTCCTGGTCCTTTCGTCCAGCACCAGGAAGAAGTACCTCCCGCAGTCGGGGTCCTCTGGGCGGCGCGCCGCCGCGCACCCCAGACGTGGCGCTTTCTGCAGCAACGTAAACCCCTGGAAGTCTTGGACCCCTCCCTGGGGGACTGGTGTTTCACCCCGCGTAGTGGCTTTACTCGGCGGCGCCCACACAAAGGGGTGGCTCGAGGGGGGTGGCCTTCCAAGGCGGCAGAGTCGTTCCTTGGAGGGCGGGGGCCTCCTCAGAGGGCCCTGGAGGCGTCTGAGGAGGTTTTCCGGAAGCAGGGCGGGTTTCTCCAGAAGCCCGACATGCCTTCTTAGAAGCCCCGCCGCCATCTTCGAAGTCCGCCCCCCTCCCTCGAGCCACCCCCATGGCGGCGCCGACACGCATGTTGACAGCCTGGGGGCCCAGCGAAGGACCCCAGAGGCGGCGTACGCTTTGTGATGTAAGCTACGCTGTGTAATAGATGTGTGGTCTGAGCCATGCTGCGTTAACGATGTGTTTTGAGCTGTGTTGTGTAAGCTATGCGGTGCCATCTACAGTATGTGGTGTGAGCTGTGCTGTTTGAGCTATGTTGTGTGAACTATGTTGCCCACCCGGGGCACGGCGCGAGTTGCGTCACTGCGCGAACCTCGGCAAAGCGGCAAAACCTCCCTCGGAGGCGTCCAGGAGGGGGGTTCGCAAGTCATGGCCCGAAGAGCGTGCGCGGACGAGGAGGCACCCAGGGACGCACTGGAAGAAGAAGAAGAAGAAGAAGAAGAAGAAGAAGAAAAGGGCCATGATATCCAGGGAGACAGCACGGCTCCGCCATGATGCCCCCCTCCCCCCCTTGTCATCGCACCCCCCTTCGGCGCAGCTCGGGCCCCTGGCGGCCGTCCGGGACGACCCGGGCACCCCCAGAAAGAAAGCCCCCCGCCGAGGCGCGGCTGCTGGAGAGGACCCCGAGGCCGGAAGACCGCCCTCGGACCGACGAAGACGTCCAGAAACCTCGAGCCCTTGGCGCCCCCGACCGTCGCGATTTTCGTCACGGCGCGGCTGGGGCCGTGCGGCGGCGGCCGTGCGGCGACGGTTCCCGCGGCTGTGGGGCCGCCTGTGTGTGTGATCTTTTCGAGGGACAAGAAGCTGCACAAACCCACGCTCTCGGAACTCCGAGAGGATTTCTTGGATCGGAGCTGGACCCCCTGGTGGCGGCTCTGGCGCCGTAGCTCCAAGGAGCCCGCGCGGAGCTCCGAAAGTTCGAGTTCTGCCCCTCGGGAAGATTACCAGATCCGCACTCTGCTGGTTGGCAGGCAGGTGTAGAACGTGGAGAGTCAGGGTCGGGCGGTGTGACTTTTGGTTAATCCAGGCGTGTCCTGAGGTCCTGGCGCCAGGAGGATGGGTTCCAGGGCTCTGGGGGCGCCGGGGCTGAAGGTCGGTCGGTGTCCAGGCATCGGGCGGCGCGATCTTTGTTCAATCCAGGCGTGTTCTCAGATCCTGGCGGCAAACTCTTCAGAGGACGAGAACGCGGCATAAACACAAACTCTCGGAGATCTGCTCCCACTTCCTGGATCTACGCTGCAACTCCCTCCCTGGCGCGCGGAGCACGCTGAGGACGGCGCTGGAGGCGCCGAAATCAAGAACAGATCCGGGACGCAAAACTAGCCCCAGGGAGTGGTTGGCAGCTCTGGGGCTGCGAACTGAAAAGGTCGTGATTTCCACAGGACGTGCGAGTGTCACCCCTGGTCCCTACGTCCTCCAACTCCCTTCGGCGCAAATTCCTGGAGTCGGGCTGGCCAGCGAGGAAACTCCGGAGCAACGCCCCCCAGGGTTTCCCACGACGGGCAGCGGCGTCGTCCGACTATCGCGGTGGGATCGCTAGGAATGGCTTCCATGGCGACCTGCATTTTTGAGCGCCACCTTCGCACACTGGCTGCCACACTCCGATTGCGACCCTCATAAGCTGCATGAGCATGCGCCCGCATGAGACTGTGCTCCGAGAGGACCACCACGCCGCTGATGCAGCGAACAACGGCCCAGGATCGAACGTCTCCAGCACGCATACGTAAGGCAAAGCCGCCACAGTACGCTTAGACATCGCAAGACACTCGGAGACCCGCAAGGAGTAACCCTGCAACAGATCTCTGGTGCCGGGCGTCAGGGTGCCGCGGGAGGGCCGGATCCAAGCGCGCAGGCCCGGCCAGTGCCGGGGGTGGCCCCATAGGGCCCCTGTGGGCCCGCACCGAAGGTCACTCCGCCGGAGGGCCCCTCTTACGCGTAGCCGAGGCGAGCAAACGCACTTGGAAGATGCCCAGCGTGGCCGTCATCAGCAGGCGCACACAGCCCCGAATCCGAAAGCCGGCAGAGCAGCATATTACCAAGACCTCTCCCCGATCAACCCCATCCCAATCGCGCCGCCTGGCGGCGGCACCCATCGTCGGCACGAGCCGCAACTGCCCTCAATTACCCCTGTAGCAGGAAGTCTGGGGGTGGCGAGTGCAAGATCCCCTCCGCCCGCTCCTCGCAGACGTTCCGCGGCGGGTAGTAGATCTGCGACGCGCTCTGGTGGCCGTCTTTTGATTTATCCCTACATTGCGCACATTGAGCCCTCGTCAGCAAACGACTTGGCGAGTCCGAGTGAGGACAGATCCAAATGCCTCGGATAACTCAATGTCAACCTTTTTCCCGCGCGCCATCTGAACAACAACAACAAGGCATCAACGCCTATGTGCGCCCTTCTCCCCAGGGGCACAAGAGTCCAGTCACTCTACTCGCATGACCGGACTCCTGTGCCCCTCCCCACCCACGAGGAGGGGGGGAGGGCCAGCAGCCAGCATCCAGCATACAGCACTCATACAAACAACGAACCACAAAATCCACTGGAACCCTTATAAGGGGTCACCTCGGCCCTGCCTTCGCCAAACGATCGCGCGCTGGCGAAGCAACGCCGCTGGTTACCTCCTCTAATGGGAGCCTGTTAGGGATGGAAGGAACCCCAATAACATCCGATTAGGGCTGGATGGAACTCTGATAGGATCCTGTTAGGACTGCATAGAACTCTTATAGGATCCACTTAGGGGCGGGTGGAGCTCTAATAGGATCATGTTAAGGGATAGATGGAGCTCTAATGGGATCCTGTTAGGGGTGGATGGAGCTCTAATGGGATCATGTTAGGGATGGATGGAGCATTGGTACAATCCTGTTAGGGATGGATGGAGCTCTAATGCTATCCGGTTGTGGACGGATGGACCATTTATGGCATCAAAACGAATCAATTCGCATCAATGAAACAAATACGAACCAATACGAATCAATACGAATCAATAGGAATCAAGGTAATCAATAGAGACCAATAAAAATGAGTTAGAAACACTAAGAACCAATTAAAATTAGTAGGAACCAAACAAAATGATTGGAATCAATAATAACAACTTAGAACCAGTGAGAATCAATTAGATAGAATCAATGGGAATCAACTCGCATCAAAAACTAAAGCAGCATCAGAGACGAAATAAGGATAACCACTTAGGAGTTAAGGAGAATCAATGGGAATAAACGAGAACCAATAGGACTCACTTCGAATCAATGAGAACCGATGTGGACCAACAGGAAGCATTCGGGATCAATTAGAACCAATAGGAATCAAGTAGAGTCAACAGGACCAGAGAGACCCAACAGGAATCAATACAACTAGTAAGAGCCAATTCGGATCGATTGGAACCAATTAGAATCAATGAGGGTCAATTAGAACCAATGTGAATGAATTCGAACCAATAAGAATCAATAGGGACCAATGGGGATCAATTAACATCGATCAGAGTTAAGTGGGGTCAATGAGAACCAATAGAATCAAAAAAGGATGAATTGGATTCGCGAGTAATGAATGAGAACCAATGAACCAACTAGAATCAACAGAAATCAATTATAACCATTGGTGGTATATCAGGACCAATGGCGCTCAGTCAGAATCAAATATAATCAATGGGAATCAATGGGAATCTGATACAGACAATGGGGATCAAAAAGAACCAACAATAAGCAATTGGAATCAACTAGAATCACCTGGAATCAATTAGGACCATGAGGAACCAATTTAAACCAAAAGGGGTCAGTGAGAATCACTAGAAACCAATCAGAAGCAAGGGGACTCAACCAAAACCAATAGGACTAAATTCGGAACAACATGGACCAGGTAGTATCAATGAGGAGCAATTAGAACCAATGGGCATCAATTAGAACCAATAAGGATCGATAGGGATCCATGGTAATCAATTGGTACGAACAGGACTCAAATAGAACCATTGGGAAGCAATTCGGATCCACAGGAACCACTTTTCGGTAGCAAATCACCAGAATCAAGTGGAACCGGTAGGCACCACGTAGGATCAGTAAGAACCAACGAATAGCAATGGGAATCAATAAGACTCAAGTAGAAACACTAAGATCCCATAGGGATCACCTAGAAGCAGCAGGAATCAAACCGAATCAATCGCAATCAATTAGCATCAATGGGGATCATTGAAAGTCAATCGGAATCAACAGGACCCAATTCGAGTCAATAGGGAGTCAATAAGAACCACTAGGCATCAATACGAACCAGTTAGTATAATGAATGAGGATACGTTAGAAGTTACCAGAATCAAAGATAATCAGAATCGATGGGAATATGTAAGGAAAAACCGGAATCAATTAGGGTCCAGCAATACGAATCAATTAGAAGCCGTGAAACTGAATTAAAGCCGATAGGAATCAATTCAAACCAGTAGGGACCAATTAGAATCAATGAGAAGACATAGGACCAATGGGACCCAATGTAAATCAATAGGAACCAGTAGGGGTCAACAGGGATCAAGTGGGATCATCAGGAATAGCTTAGAATCAACAGGAACCAATCGGGATTAATATGGATTAATTGAAATCATTTGGTACCAACAAGACTAGAACTGCCTAGGGCTAGTACTCCGTAACACGAGTACCCCCGAGGACTAGTACTCCCCAGGACTAGTACACCGTTGGGGTGGTAATCCCTAGGACAGGTGCCCCCTAGGGCTAGCACTCCCCAGGGCTAGTACTCCGTAGGACGAGTACTCCCTATGAGTGGTACTCCCTAGGACTCGTACCCCCTAGGACTAGTACTCCCTAGGAGTAGCACTCCCTAGGAATAGTACCCCCCAGGAATGGAACACCCTGCGACTAGTAATCCCCAGGGCTGGTGTTCCGTAGGGCTGGTGATCCATTGGACTAGTAATCCCTAGGGCAAGTGCTCCCCAGGGCTACTGCTCCGTAGGAACGTGACTCCCTAGGACCAGTAATTCCTAGGAATCGTAAAGCGCAGGCCTAGTAATCCCGAGTACTGCCCATGATGTACTTGCACACATATGTGTATATAATGTATACATGTGCATACATATGTCTTTGTGCTCCTCCTGTTCCCTCCTCCTCCTCCTCCTCCCACGACTACGACTGCGGCCAGAAAGCAAGAGATCGTTTTTTCTGCGCAGCCTTCCCCCAGAGTTGCTCTGGCACTGTCGACGTGCAGGCGGCTCAGAATGAAGCAGTTAGAAAGTGCCACTCCTCCTCCTCCCTCCGAGGATGCCAGCGTGCCTCGTCCTGCCAGGCCCGTAGTTATCACGCTCACAACCGAGGCACGGCTAGATCCTCCTCTACTACCACAACCCCACGCACGAGATGCGATCCTCGCGTGAAGATGTTAAGTGTAAAGAAGGCTGGGGCCCAAGGTGGGATCCGGGCGCCTTGACGGATGGGAGCCCAAGGTGGTGTCCAACAAGGCAATAAGGAGGAGTCCATCAGCGACCTCACGGGAGTCCACAGGAGCGCGGGTCCTTTTTTCGAAATACTACCATCGTACTACCACACTACAACACCACTGCCACACAACCATGACCACAACACCACAACACCGCTACCGCAATACCAGTACCACAACACCATAACACCGCTACCACAACACCACTACCACACAATACCACAACAAAACTACCACATCAACACTACCACAACACCACTGCCACCACCCCAATACTACTACAACACGACTAACAACTCAACCGTACTACCAACACCACACCACTAACGCAGCACCACCACATCACCGCTGCGAGTGCAAAACGAGGGTCTGTGACGGACTCGCCGCGCGCTACTCCTACTGCTAATGCTGCAATAGAAAATACCACCGCCACTACCACTGCTGGCAATGGTTTCATAGCTGATAGCCCACGACCCAGGCACGTCGGCGAGGCTTCTGACCCCGCAGCCCAGGCACGGCGGAGTGGCGTGTGAAGAAGGGGAAGAGGAGCGGGGGGGGAGGGAGGAGGAGGAGGAGGAGGAGGAGGAGGAGGAGGAGGAGGAGCCCTTCCTCCCTCCTCCTCCTTCTCGAGGCCCACCCCCGCCCCTCCTCGCAAAATTCAGCCCCCCCTCCGCCTGGCTCCCCCTGAGCAGGGCGGTCGGGTGCCTCAGACGGAGAGGGCCAAGCTTGAGAATGGAGGAAGTCTCGGGCGGGAGCGGCCCTGTGGGACCTCCCTCTGTGGCCAGCGGGACCGCTGGAACCCGCGGGATCGAGGAGAGTTGTTGGATGTGTGACGCCTGTGGGACCTGCGGGACCCGCGAAGCCTGCGATGCCCATGGGATTTGCGCGGCCTGCGGGACCTTTGGAACGCGCGGGGGGCCACCGCCACAACCCCCATCCACCTGCACGGGTCATGCCGTGAAGCCCCGTCAGGGGTGCTGCTTCTCATTCAAAACGCGCCCAACCGCGGCAGCGACAAGGGGGCAGGGGCGCGGGAGCCAGGCGGGCTCCCCGCCAGGGGTCTCACGGTTGCGCGTTCTTTTTGTCGGCGGCAACGCACGTTGCAGGGTCTCGCCAGCGCGGCACGGGGGATCTGACACAAAGCAACAAATCGGCTGGAGCGCGCTGCACGGCTGGAGCGCTGCAGTGAACCCGAGGCGTCCCGTGGAGACCCCTCGTGGGGCCACGAAACGTGCGAACGATGCTCCGACATGGGCCAGGGGCGGCCAGGGGCGTCCCGTGGAGACCCCTCGTGGGGCCACGAAGCGTGTGAGGGGTACCCCGAAATTGGCTCGAGGCATCCCGTGGAGACCCCTCGTGGGACCACGAAGCGTGTGAGTACCCTGAAATTGGCCCGAAGCATCCCGTGGAGACCCCTCGTGGGGCCACGAAACGTGTGAAGAGTGCTCCGAAATTGGCCCGTTGGCGTGGGCGTGGGCGTGGGTTTGCGCGTGGGCGTGGGCGTGGGCGTGCGCGTGGATGTGGGTGCGGGCGTGGGCGTGGGCGTGGATGTGGGCGTGGACGTGGGCGTCGGTGAGGGTGTGGGTGCTGGCCTGCTGCCCCCCCCCGGCCGTGAGCGTGGGCGTCGGCGTCGGTGTGGGTGTGGGTGTTGGCCTGCTGGCCTGCTGCCCCCCCCCTCCGGTTACGGCGGGACACACATAGGCGTTGACGCCAGCAACAACACCACCACCACCACCACCACCACCAACAACAACAACAACAACAAAACACAAGTCATGGGTTTGAGGTCTCCACT